ATATAGATTATAAAAGAATTAATTGTTCATATATCGCCCTATGATTTGTATGTTGAGTTTAATCGTTCTTTTTCATAACAATTGATGATCTTTCAATATCAGAAACTATTTAGGACTCAGCACAGGACAGGTCTCAATCCATGGGTATTTATTTTTTCTTCATGCTAGAACGTCATTGAATTGTTAGTGTTTGTTGGTATAGGGAAAATTTAGGTATGGTATCTACGTCAATCATCTCTGCAGACACCAAATTGAGGTAGAACCAATGAAAATCCTTACGTCCTTTCTTTTGATCAAGCCATTTGCGCAGCTATTCTTTTAAGTGCTGCATATGTGCCGGCACAACCACTCACCGCCCCTATAATTATGGTGAATGTGCAGATTGCAATCTGGATGGGAAACAGAACCAAGAAAATATATGCATTTAAGCTTTTCTCTTAAATATTATGAACAGTGTTGGAGTAAGGATTCTTACCTGAAATTTAATTATTAAACCTGGAGTATGCGTAGGTAACACGCAGATGGAGCTGTCACCAAACATTTATCTCTGGGCCCAAAAAATTGAATATTAATTATCTCAGTTTCTATCAGTAATTGAAGTTTTCTTCAAGTAACCATAGTCCAAACTTCGATTTTAGAACCCACAAGTTGTGTTGGCATGTTTAAAGTAATTGTGATTCAATGGAATTCCCAAATATCAGATATCCACAGATGTCCACTGCAGTGTACATTAACCAACAAAACAGAAAGCTGCAGAATGGTGGCAGATAGCACAGCTGTTTTTTCTCAGGGACCATGTTTCAGAGGAATATTGGAATTAGATTTGCATAAATTTTCCTTTTTTTTTTTTTTTTATAAAGGTAATGGTTAGTAAGTTAGTATTATTAGATATTAGAAACTAAAGATTTAATCCCAGATCTGGTGAACAGTCCACCGACTTCAATGAAATACGCGACCATCAGACCGCTTGATGGAATTCTTGCATAAATTTTCCTGGTTGTACAAAAGGAAGAAAAAGACGATATTTCAGGTCACCTGACAATGATGACCAAGGGAAATTGCGTTGGTTCTTTCATGAAAGAACATATATTTGAAGAAAACAAAATGGCCAGAGAAGCAAAGAAGCAGAAACCATATATGCCAACCGAAACAGACAGGTTTGCAAGGTCAAGAACTGTTCCACGTGCATGAGATCCAAATCTGTGGGCCACCCTAACCCTTAACAGGCAAAGCACTGCTAAAATTGATGCTCCTATTCTACCAGCTGAATAAGATATGGTTTATAGAGATGAGCAGCTGGGGGCTTAATTGTGTAACTGTAAACTAAAACAAAATAAATTGAAGCATCATATTGCAAGAAAAGGAGCAAGGACACGAAACCTAAGAGGTAGGAGAGCAAACTGAGTCTCAAAGCCAAACAGTTGGAAGAGGAATAAGAGTTGCTATAAAAGAAAATATTTTGTGAGCATCGAAAGACATTCCAGCCAAATAGATGTAGGCATTTGGGAACATCATTGACAGGTTATCACTCATCATTATCAAGTACTCCACCAAGCGTCCTGTAAACCCACGTTCTTTATCCTTCAGTGCAAGGGGGAAAAGGGGCACCAAAATAAAATTGAGAAATGATAAAGACATACTAGAGATAGATCCTTGCACTTGCATATGGTTCTACATACAGAATTATCTGCATTCACAAACGCCAATATGTCACTGTTAAATTCAGCAAAATTAGATATTTTTTAAATTCAATTCATGCATAAAAAGAAAGAAGAATACAAAATTACAAATGCATTGATATTTGAAATCCACTTACAGATACTATTACGCGACCAATTGTCCCAAAAGCAGCTTGTCAACATCGGGATGAGTTTGGAGTCTAGGGGAGCTTTGAAAATATCTTTTCAATAAAATTCCAGCATGACAAGGCAAGATACTGAACATGACATGACGAGCAGTATCAAGCTCAACCACACCCACTTTCTTTGATCGCATAAGGAGTTGTCAGTTGTGAGAAGTCCCAGGCCAAAGAGAACTTTGATTCCTATCCAGCATAAAAATAAAGATCTCAGAGTTAAAGGAGATACATTAAGCAAAACTTTTGACAATTTTTCCTCAACTCCACCTAGATGTTACGCTAACAACAATTTGCTTGCCTCATAACAAAACCCGATAGGAGCAATGCTATGTAAAAAGGGTAATTTTTGGAGTCTCTTTCTTGTCCATGAATTAAAAGATTGGAGTAACCATTGTAGTTACAGGTATACCATTAAGTATTGTTTGGACAAATGAACACTGCTGCTGCTGTGCCATGAAACTATATCAGCATTTGAGGGGATTGTAGAGGTAGGCATTATTTGTTCCATGTCTGCATCCTTCAGATATGAGGGGTTTGCTGAGGGAGGACTGACGATCGTCATCTAAATCCCTTCCGCGAGGGGACTTGCCCGATTCCCTCAAGCTGCCAATCCTTGCACAACTAAAAGAGTTTGGACTGAACATGTTCATAGACTGCCTACGTAAATTCAATAAAGGCAGGTTAAGAAACTTAAAAGGAAATTTTGAGAGAAGGAATTTCAAGTTCCTTGATATTTTCTTCATTGAAGTCCCTCACTTAAAACTAAAATTCTGTGTAGAATTAATTGATGGAGACAGGGCATGTCCTAGTGATACAATAAATAAATACTTTGAAGGAAGAAGTAGAGAAATGCCTAGGCCATGGAGAATTGCTTAATTCGGAGGGAGGGGATTCGCGAGGGTGGTGTGTGATTGGAATCGAAGTTGTCTTCGTCGCCATTGAATGAACTTTCAGCTCTGTTTTCTTCATTGTTCGTCTGAGATGCACCATCGTGATCAAGCCAAAGCTCCTCGTCTAGCTTCATTTTCAACCATGGTGCGAAACAACCTAAGCGGTGCAGACAGCAGCGTCGTTTAAAAAAAATAAAAAAAAACGACACCTGAGTTTGGTTTGGTCTACGGAGAACTTAGAACAGTTTAACCATTTTGTGCCTTTTAGCGTTAAAATATAAAAATTACTTACTTCCATCAAAAGAAAATTAACAACTAAACTTCATGATGACAATGAATCCTTTTGGGAGTTTTAGGACGAAAGTCCCTACATTAATATTTAATTTGATGGCCGAGGGTTATGGAATCTTGTTGGAGAGTTTATTGACATTTAGATTCTAAATTCTAGATTGATGACAAAACTATAAATATCTGGCATGCTCTCTTCATATACCCGTTTTGTGATAGAGTCAAATTATTCAAAGCAGAGGAAAAAGAAATTGAAAAAAATAGAAGAAAATTGTAATGCTTAATATACTATTGAAAATGTTGGAAATTATGTTGGCTAAAAGAACAACATTATGTTCTTTCAAGCATGGACAAACGGATAGAATCATTTAACCTGAAGCATAAAAACAAAGCAAAGCAGGTGTTGAGTTACGCACAATGCTCAAAATCTTGTTCCCAATCATACAGGATGGGCCTACAGATCACAGAACTGGCTCTTCCCATCTATATCAGGCATGGTTAGTAAGAGCTTCTGTACTGACCCTCCAATTTTGAGTCATTCATTCTGGTGTTAGCAACACTCCTTAGGGTTGTGCAGAGAATGGCAGCGTATCAGAGGTTATGTTTTCATTTGCAGACTACATTTGCTCTTATTCTAGTACTCAATCAAGCAAAACAAGTCCATAAATTGAAATGCAGTTTTCTAGATGTCTGTTACTAATCTGTGATCAAGAAATAGAGGAAGAAATGAGATCAAGAGAAAATGAAGAAGAAAAACAACTCTTCATTGTGCTTCGGGAGCAATGGACTATGCTAACAAAATCAAAGAAACCATCTTACTCTTAGCATGCAAGGCACATAGAAAAAGCACAGAAGGTGCAGGTGATTATTTGATAATGACATGAAGATTATGATAATTGTATCCAAGAAACATGCAGCCCCACACTACCTCATATTCCAAGTATAATAAAAAAGAGTAATTCCACTGAATAGATGTTCTGGATCACAAACTGCTATATAAAGAGAAGCTTAATTGTATCAAGTTATTAATAAACAGTCTAATACAGTCAAGCACAAAAGCCACATATACACGTACAATGTATCCCTATCCAGAATTTGAATGCAAACGATTTTCTAGGATTTGAATCATAAGATTCAACAAGATGTATAAACTTTTTTCTCTTTCAACCAACTGCTCCCAATAATGAAGAGGATTCACGGCCCAATAGTTAAATAATTCTAAGAAGAACGATCATAGAACATTATTGTGTCAAAACTCATTGATGAAACTCAAGAGCTTCAAGCATGGTAGCCCCAAAAGAACCAAAATAAACACAGTAGTTTGTAGTAATGGCAAGTAAACAAATATTGGAAAGGCGGAATAGATATAAATTATTGTGGCAAAACTCATTGATGAAACAAATTGAGCCTTAACAGCAGTGCAAGCAAAATTACATCAGTGCATCATTGACTTCTAAAAGGTTGACTCTAACCAGGAAGCTTTCTTCTTCATCAACCCCTTTTCATCTCCTTCAATGGAATGATGACCACTAGTACTACAGCTGGTACAAAACTTCTATCGCTTTGGCAGGACCTAAAAATGAGGAATTCCCCATTCCTTCATCAAAGTGTCATTATTTACAGCAGCAAAAATCATACAAATCTACATATGTTTCTTTGCATAGGAAGGAAACAGCAAGAATTATAGAATGAAATAGAAACTAATTCATATCAGCCAAAACCACTACAATTCCAAGCTCTTCTAGACAAAAAGAAAAAAAAAATACCATCTTTCAGTCATCCAAATCCCAATCCTCAGTTTGCCTTCTGGATGACCTGCCATAGATTGAAGTCGACCTACTCCTCCTTGTCAGCCTAGATTCACCACCCGAACGAGAGGACGAGCTCCTAAACCGGCCAAAGAATGATGCCACACTACGAAAGATACGTCCCAATCCTCTACTCTCACGAGACCTCCTCCCACTTGGAGCCCATGAAATCCTTCTGGGTACACCCGCGTTGTGTAACCCGCCATCCATTTCCGTAAACACAACAGGGAAGTCCCTCTCCGCAGCTCTCCTCCCTCCAGTAAACCTCCCCACAGCGAATCCACCCCCCGGCAATCGCCATATCGTTAGCCCCACAGCATCCTCGTCTCTAACAGAATCATTATCGCCTAAATTTGTCGTAGCTTCCGTTGGCAATTCGTGGCGGCACACAGGGCAAGAGTTTCGGATAGAAAGCCATGGAAGAATGCAATCAGAATGGTAAATATGCTTACATGGCATCTCACGAGCCTCCGTGTCAAGCTCGAAAGGCTCTTTACAAACTGCGCAATGAGATTCCATGGCGACATGACTCGAGAGGATCTTGATGATTGGCATTGATTCAATAGCCGCTTTTGAAGCCGGCGGCTGCTCAAATCGGCCCACACCATTAATCTCCAACTGAGCTAGCTGATCAAGAAGCCGGTCAAAACCAGATCCCATCAAGAACTCCGATATGCTCGCCGGCAAGGGACGAAGACCAGAACCAGATCCGTCATCATAATAAAGCTCGAAGTTATTCCCTCTCTCAGCAACTATACCCTCGTTACCAGCGTTGGACCCACGGAGAACGATGACCGGGTTAAACGGAGAGCGATCACCGGCGTTCCTTCTGGCGCGGCGGAATCTAGGACTCGGACTTAACCCAGGACTAGGAACTGGACTCGGACTGGTGTCGGAATACAAAGCCGCAGTAGGGAATCGGTGGTAGACAGGAGATCGGGAGGGCGTGTCGATTTCCTCGACAAATCCACCTCCGCAGTCGGGACAGCTGACGGAATCTTGAGACCTAACCCGGATCCGGATGAAGCGGTTGCATCTGTAGCACCAGAACGGCGATCTCATGGATTCCATGGATTGAAATTGAGAATCGAGAGAAAGAAGGAAAAAGGAGAAATTGAGTTTGATTTCAGGGAGAAATCGAAAATCAGAGAGGAGAATAAACCCTAGAATGTCATGGGAAAAAGAGGAAGAAAAATCAAAAGAGTAAAGAAAGTGGAGGTGAGAGGAAGAATAATAAAGGCGGTGGCGTGGAAGCATCAGCGCTAAAAGCGCGTGTTTAAGTGTTGGTATAATGGTATTTTTACTCGTTTAATCACGATTAAGAATTAATGTTGTTGGTGGCTTTGGTTTAATTAACAGCGTTTAGGCTGGCTGGTAAATTGAACCGGGATGATGCGAACCGGATAATCGGGGAATCTGGTCCAACGTGCGTGTACTGTTGTCCGCAATAGAGGTGTAGCCATTTTTCACGTTTTGGATTTTGGGTTTCTGTTTTGGGCATTCTGGAAGTGCGCCGTTGTCGTTTCCATCAAAGGACGCGCTGAAAGCTTTACTTAGTCAATAGGTTTGTTCTTTTTTATTTTATTGTTTAAAATTTAATTTAATAAAAATATAATTTATTTATAAATTTATTAATTTTAAGGTAATTAGTTTTTTTTTTTTTACCAAACTAAACGGAAATTAATATGAAGTGCACTGCACATAAATTGATTTAAAGAAACACTAATAATTAAAAATAAATCAAATGCTGTAGGTGAACATATGAAAAATATGACAAAATGAATGTTCCTGGAAACAAGGGAGGTGAACTATCTAATTTGATAATTCGTTTTTTTTAATTTAGTTTAAATTGTAAAAATGTGTATAATTTCACGGTTTTTATCTAGCAATATGCTATAGTTTTTTTTTGGTTAAATAATTTTTTTTATTTTATATTGCATAATAACATATGACTTTATTTTATCTCTTAACTTACTTTTTAATTTATTATGTTCACATGTTATATAATTTAAATTTAAATTTTTTTATAAAGTTATTATTAAATTTTTTAAATAATTATTTTTTTCTATTTAGAAATTAAATAATATTAATAATTTTAAACTACTCCTTAATATCAATAATTATTAACAGTCAATTCAAGCAGAGTCGAAAAAATCGGACTGAATTAATAATATTAGTTTTTTTTTTTTTTTTTTGGAGATATTAATATTAGCTTGATTGAGCTCGCTAACACAAGCCCATGGGTCGGTGACACGCTTTGGATTTTGAAGGCCATATGTAATTTTAGATTTGGGCCAATGACTGAGTTTTTGGTCCAAAAGGTTTATGCGTCTGGAAGGAATGAGGTTAAGGTAAGGGGCGGTGGCGAATTCCACCTTCGTCTGGTATTTTCCTCTCTACAAAGGAAAACTCCAGAATCGTCCCGAATCATCCTTGACATCTATTTAAGTGTCTGCAAATTCTCCTTGCAGAGATTTTCTTTATACCCATCTTGATTTATTTTGCCTGTTTGAGAATTTGATAAGTTTGCTTGAAAGGCTGTAATGGCGAAGGACGGACCCAACTGGGAAGGGCTGCTCAAGTGGAGCCTGTCTCACGCTGATGGCACTGGTTCTGCTCGCACTTTGAGGTACCCATCAATTATTTACTCTTCTTTCTTGATATTTTAGAGTTGCTGATTGCTGAATGCAGTGAACTTTAATGGTTTTAGAGCTGCTGATTAAGCGAAAGCAGTGAACTTTAATGTTTTCTTTGCAATTTGGTTTTCTGTGATTTCTAGTTAAAGGGATGAAAAGTTCATCAATTTAGCTTAGGATGTTAAAAACACAAAAAAGGTCCTACTTTTTTGCATCAGCTGTGTTTGATTAAAATTGGGTTAATTGATCTGTGATTTTGTTAGCGAGGAGGATCGAAAATGGTTTATGGAGGCTATGCAATCCCAGACTGTAGATGTGATTAGGCGCATGAAGGAGATAACTTTGGTTATGCAAACTCCAGAGCAAGTCTTGGAGGCTCAAGGAGTTACTCCAGCAGATATTGAAGGTACTGGATTTGACGCTGTTTTATGTTATCTTTCTTTATTTATAGGTTATTGATTGTGATTCATATTGGTGATTAACTGAGCTAACTTCTTTGCAGACATGTTGGATGAATTGCAAGAGCATGTAGAGTCAATTGACATGGCCAATGGTATGTTTTATTAGCATGTTAAATGCAGCGTGTAGTGATTTGAAAACTATTTGAGTTTACATAATACCTTTTATAGTTTCTCTAGCTGCATGTAGTTTGAATGTGATTGCACGCAGCAAAAAGTTAAGTGCTTTGTGATATTTAGTTTAAAATGCCACAAAATCATCGGTTGATATTTGTCTGTTTCACATGCCTGTTTGAGTATTATAGATTTTGTTTCTTTGGTCCTTTGGGGATAAGTTATGTTTATGAATAACAATTTTCAATTTGGACAAGAAAAGAAAACATTTTCCCCATTGATCAAGCCTTTGGCTGTTAGCAGTTGATCAATAAGTTTGTTAGTTAAATTCTTTGTAAGAAAAGAGAATGCTGTCCTTATTTTATGGTTGTTTGTACATTTTGCAGATCTCCACTCAATTGGTGGTTTGGTTCCTCTTCTTAGTTACTTGAAAAATCCCCATGCTAATATCCGGGCAAAAGCTGCAGATGTTGTAACCACCATTGTACAGAATAATCCCCGGAGTCAGCAATTAGTCATGGAAGCAAATGGCTTAGAACCTCTTCTCTCTAATTTTACCTCAGACCCTGATGTGACTGTTCGAACCAAAGCACTTGGTGCAATATCATGTATGTCTTTTTTTTTTTTTCTTCCCTATGGCAGAATTGTTTTTCATTTTGTATACCTAGCTTCCTATATTGTCTTCAAACTTGTGCTTGAAAATTTTTTTTGACACAGTATCTTTTCTTTTGACTTTCAGCTTTGATCCACCACAATAAACCTGGTATTACAGCATTCCGTCTTGCAAATGGTTATGCAGCCTTAAGAGATGCTTTGGGATCTGAAAGTGTGAGATTTCAAAGGTAGTATTTGGATCAGTTCTTTCTTCTTTATAGTTGGTCAGGGCTAATCTTTTTGTGGTTGATCAACTGATTATCTGCACCTATGATTTTCTGATAGAATTATTCTTTTCCAGGAAAGCCCTAAATTTGATACACTACCTGCTTCATGAAAATAGTTCAGATTGCCCTGTGGTAGCCGAGCTGGGATTCCCTCGCATTTTGATGCATCTTGCCTCAAGTGAAGATGCAGATGTGCGAGAAGCTGCCCTACGTGGCCTTCTTGAACTAGCTCGAGAGAAAAATAAGGCAGATGGGGCCAGTAGCAGGGTAGGTGAAGCAGATGGGAAAATGAAGCAACTTCTTGAAGAACGAATTAGTGGTATCAGCTTGATGTCAGCTGAAGATCTTGGAGCTGCTAGAGAGGAGAGGCAGCTTGTAGATTCCCTCTGGAGTACATGCTACAATGAGCCATCTTCTCTTCGAGAGAATGGGCTTCTTGTTCTACCTGGCGAAGATGCACCACCACCTGATGTTGCCAGCAAGCATTTTGAGCCCCCTCTAAGAGCTTGGGCTGCAAACCGTCCTGATGGTACAAACCCCAGCACCAAAAAGCAGGAACCTCCCCTGCTGTTAGGACCTGGTGGTCCAGCTGAGGCTGCCAATGCTCAAGGTACCGAAAGTCAAGAAGCAGAACCTGCTGGACAAGGACAATCGTCCTAGACGAGGCTGTAAGTTGGTTGTGGGGTGGGATCAGAAACTTATGTGCTTATTAAATTAGCAAAATTGTTCCTTTTTTTTTCGCTTTTATTTTTTATCCATACTAGGCAAAATTTTTTCTTCCCACTGTACCATGAATGTTTGTATCTCTTTCTATGGTGCACCTTGCTAGACAAAAAACATGCCATTGCCTGATCCTTTTTCTGAGTGATGAAGTAGTTTGCTTGAGCTAATCATCTCTGCAACGCATTGAATTTGTTGGTTTACATTTTTTTGGGATTTGAGGTATGAATTCTGAAATGCTAGTTTTATTTGCACCTACAGGTTAACCCTTTATTGAACGAGGTTGATAATTGAAATCTTAGTTTAATTACTCCATAAATCTGTTGTCTTGTAGTGGATAAACGATAGAATGCATACTATGCATCACCATTATCAATAATATATCAATATATAGAACCAAATTATAGAGGAAAATAAACTTTTTCCAAGAAGTTCACTAGCAACATTCTTTCTGATTATAGTATCTAATTTAGAAAGAAGAATGGTGAACATTTCCTTTCTAACAAAGCCATGATCCCAACTTCTATTATCCCTCTATTTAGGAGGGCAGAAAGTGATGACATATCGCGATGCTCTGCATTTGTTAAGGCTTTTAGGGTCATCAAAAGCATAGCTGTATGCCTTCGGGCAAATGGCCTTGAACAGATTCGCAAAGGCAGTAGGCTTGCAGGTTTTCGGGTTAGAAAACTCGCCAGTGCAGCAGTATTTCGCTGACTGCAACGCCAAGCAGGCACTCTTGCATCCCACTACCTTGCCTCCGCTCCTCACTTCCAATGCTGATGGGCAACAAATGTTCACATCAACATCGCAGGAGGCAACTCCACAGCCGACTCCACCGCCAACAGGCTTCATAGAAACTGGCAAATTGAAGCCATCCACCAAACTAACATCATAGAAATGTAATGGGGAAGAGGACGTGCCAAGGGTCATTTCCACTAGAGTTGCTGGAGGTGTACCACTAATGCCTTGGCAGTGAAGTAATCCAACACAGTCGCCGGTGGTACACGAACCTTTCCCATTACCATCAAAGGAACAACCTTGCCTAGCCCATATCCTCCCCGACCACCTCTGTGGCACATCAAAAACCACTTCCTCACCGCAACCAAGGTGAAAGCCGCCATTGTTGGGGGTGTCTTGGCCCGCACCACCAAGTATTCCAGGCCATATACTTTCATTGCAATTATTTACAACTATGAGTTGCTCCCCATCTGCATCCAAGAACAAATCAATCAACCCAACAAAATCCCAAAGACAGAAAACGCACAAAATGAGCATACACAATAAATAGGAGAAGTACCTGCAATAATGGACAATGATGCTAAGAGCAGGAGGAAGATTAGAGAAGATGACATTGTGGTACAGAGTTACAAGACAGTGGAGGCTCTTGGAATGCTGTGGCACAATGAATTTTAGGAGAACCTTGAGCTTTTAACCTCAAGGTTCATGGGAAAAAAATGTCCCCAACGGCTGCCTTTTGCTTTTACTTTTAGGTTAAAATACTAATTTGATCCCTCAACTTTCAGGTTTGTATCAAAATTGTCCTTGAACTTCAAAAAAATACTAAAATTATTCTTAAATTTTAATTTTTGGTACCAAAATAATTTCTGAACTTTAATTTAGTACCAAATTAGTCTTTAAACTTTGAAAAGAAGTACCAACTTAGATCTTGAATTTTGATTATAAGCACTAATTTAGTCATTTAACTTTAATTATATAGCAATTTGATATGTAATTGAAAATATGTCATGATAATAAAACATAACTATCTGATTTTATAATTTATATGTCATTAATATTTTAAAAAAGATTGATTTTGTTGCAAAATAATGACTCATGTGATATTTTTGTTAATAGAAAAACTATTTTAGTATGGAAAATTAAAGTTTAGGGATAATTTTGATATTATTTGAAGTTTAAAGATAATTTTAGTATAAATTTAAAAGTTGAGGAACCAAATTGATATTTCAACCTTACTTTTATGATGAATTGGCATATATGCATTGCTTCAAATTGAGGTTTCCCTTTTCTTTAGCAAAATTCATATCATAGCATTAGAACGTGCATAAAGTGCTTTTAAAAATCTATTATCATGCTATCACTGACATCAAATGGGAGCTAATCAGTGTGACTACATTTACTTAGTACTAAAGAGAATGCCTAAGTCATGTTCTTCTGTTTCCTAGAATGCAATAATAATCACTGTGTGATTTGGCCAAAGTAAAAAGGGAGGAGAGAAAGAAAGAAAGAGTGTGAGATATGATACTATGTCTCTTACTTTCCTACTCACCTAGCATAATATCTCGTTTCTTTTGTGATGAATAATAGCTTGTCGTACGTACCACATTGCAACCCATGCTTCTTAATCATTGTTCATACCTAATAGGAGTAGCAAAATTTCATTCAACCTGTCCTCTCATTAAAATGGGTCACGGACTCATGGCTAAGATTTTCCTGTTTGTGGCAAGTATGGGTTGGAACATGGATTCAACAATTTACGAAAATCACTAGTAAAAGTTGACCCAATTTACTTGTTTAAAACGAGTTGAGGATGTTATTTTTTTGTGTTGGTGAGCTCGTTTAATACAAAGTCAAAATTTTTATTTGTACCCTAAATATTATTATTTTTATGGTTAATATTTTTTAAAATTTTTATTCTTGATCCATATTTTTTATAATTTAAAACTTATAAAAAAAAACTCAAAAGTTAACAATTAAACTTCTTATTTACACACTAACTTAATCAATAATTTGAGAATTTTTATGAATTTCAAATTATGGAAGATCAAAAATAAAAATTCTAAAAAATAATAATATTTAAAATATAAATAGAGAATTTGATATTAATATAATTTATTACACACATGACTCTAAATAACACAATTTGACCAAACTTGTTTGCAAAGTTGAAAAAAAAATGAAATATCACTTTTTTTATTATTTTAAAAACTAATTACTAAATAGTTGTAGATACTTTAACTTTTTAAATGTTTTTAAAATCATTAGGCTCTTACTAGTATATTGTAGTTATTTACAACTATATTTATAACTTTTTGTTTTTGTTTTTGGTTATTTTATAAAAACAACCTTTTGTATTTCAAAAATATTAAAAAAATCCCACTATAAAGAAAAAATTAGACAAAATATAAATTCATGTAAGATTTTTAAGGTACACTTACACTTGTTATTTTAGTTATTATTAAATTTAAAAATCAGTTAAAAATAACAGAAAAGTGTGTATCAGTCCAAACTCTAAAAAATTAGGATTCCAAACTCTAACAATGTTATTTCTTTTAACCCTAGCACCTACTATTTTTCACTCATTCTACATCCCAGTCAATCATCTCCATCTCCATGACCATCGCCTCATCTCCATCTCCATCTCCATCGCCATCGCTTCTTTGACTCCTTCGATTCCTTGAATTTTTAAAACACAATCCCATGCCCAACACCTATTATTTTGACCCCATTTTGTGGTTGCAATTCATCATCTCCACCGATAGTAACAGAGAAGGAATCGAAGGATGGTAAGTGCTTTGTTTTCTTACTAAAATCTATCTACCCAAAAAAAGTCAAAAAAAAAAAATCTTCTTCGATTTCACGACAAATGATTGAAGATGAAATTGATGATAATAACTGCTCCACTTTACAAGCATTAAGTGACAACAATGACAAATTCTTAACTATACCAATGAATGATCTTAAGGGATTCAAAGAGATTTCTATTAGTACTGCTATAGAAATCGAGGAGGTGAGGAAGAGGTAGCGACCAAGATGGAGATGATTGAGTGGGATGCAAAAGGGTGGAAAACAATAAGTATTGGGGATTAAGAGAAATAACATTGTTTGGTTTACGACTCTAATTTTTTTTTTTGGAGTCAGACTAATATACACTTTTTTTAAAAAATAATTTACAAATATAACATTCAAATAGATTGCATCTCAAGAGGAAATTGAAGAAAAAATAAATGGAATTTTTAATTTCTAAAGATAATTTGCATTGCCATCAAAACCATACTTAATTATGAAATATAAATAATTAAAAAAACCTCTTTATATTAAAATTTTTTTATTTATATAAATTTTATTTTACAATTACATGCTATCTTTCTTGTAAAACAACGAACTCATTTCCAAAATGGAAGAAAAATAAAATATCCTCATGGTTTCTATTTTCCCCTCCAAAATTTCTAGAAACGCCTAAAACCCTACCATTCTGCTCGGGGTTTTACCGGCAGCGTAGAGAAGCACCAGGATGCTACGCACCGCATTTGCCACCGCCCTCCGCCGAGCCTCTCGATCGGGGCCCTCCTACGTCGGAGTGTCTATTCTCTCTCCATCACCACCGCCGCCGCCGTTGAGATTAGTCCACCACGATGCCCAAAACGGTTCCACTGCAAGTGCAAACCCTGCCGTTCTCCAGGCGATCAATTATGCTCTATCGAATGCCCGTTCTAAGAAATCAGGTATCCCAATTTCCCCATTTAGCTAAATTTTCCATCTTTACTTAACCCACGATTCAAGTTTTTTCCTTTTTAAATTCTGTCGCCTGAAATATTCAGAATTTCATTTTTTTTAATAAAAGTTTGGATTGGAATGTTTAGATGAGTCCTATAGAGAAGGTACGATGATACTAGAGCAGTGCCTCAATGCTCAATCAAGTGAGGATCAAGCAGGTCAAAATTCAATGGGGACGCTATTACTTGCAATGGCTCATTTGTTATATGAAAGGTGCTTTTTTTTTTGGTTTGGGAAAAGGGGGGCAATTTTCTTCAATTACAATTCTTTTTAGTATATATTTGTTTAAAATTCGATTGCAAACTTACTGTTTTAATACATATCGGCTTTTAGTGGAAATATTGATGATGCATATGTGAAGCTCAAAGGTGTTCTGGACTTAACAGAAACTTCTTTAGGTGTTAGAGGTGAAAATTTACCTTTTTTTGAACCTTTTTTGGCTCTCATTTTAGTTTGCTTATTCTATTCTAATGATTAAAATGGTGTTCGTTTGGTTTGATGTTTGTTATAGCTGCTGCTTGTGAATCTGCTTTTGGTCTGAGTTTGCAGTTGGGCCTGGTACTGAAACCACCAATTAGCCTTTTTGATTTTGTTGAGATGTAATATAGAAAATTTAGATTTATTTGGAGATGTTTTTTTCCCATATAGGATGATGATTCAACAAAGATTGCAGATAACTTCTTACAACTCTTGGAAGAAGGTGAGTTGAAGAGTGATGGGGGAGGCTCTGAGATTCTAAGAGTTCGTGCTAGAGCAGTGAAGGGGCTGGCTGAATTTGTCAAAGGCAACATTGAATCAGGTAAAGATAAAGCCTAGACCAGATTGTAATTCATCCTTTGTTGTTTTCTCTTTGATTTTTGAAATTGCTGAATGCTAACCTATTTCTTTTCAGCTGAATCATTCTTTCAAGGACTTCATGCTGATTGCAATTGTGAGTATCTTCCAACTTACCACACACTTTCTCACTGTGGAGGAAACTCTTTTACAACGTATTGATACAGTGATCTATAGGCAATGCTGCTCTATCATATGGAGAATTTCTTCATGCCACACGGAACTTTACATTGGCCAAAGAATTATACCAACGATTAACTAAAGAGGTGCATAAGAATGTCAATTTCAGTGATATTAACACCTCAGGAGTTTGCAATATGGCTCCAAACGAAGTTCTACTGGCTGCTACCTTTGCTTTGGGGCAACTTGAAATGCACATGGGGTGAACTTCTATTTACTTTTTTAACCTTTATAGCCATCTGAGTTTCTCTTCCAATATGACTCTAATCCAACCTTACTGAAACCTGTGACTCAGCAACTTTGGTGATGCAGAGGAGATATTAACAGAGGTGTTACTTAAAACAGAAGAACAGTTTGGTAGGTTAATATGCATATAATCTAAATCTAGTGGCATTTGGAGTCTGATCATTGATGGCATAAAGGTCTAATCTGTCATTTACTGACTTCTTACAGGCCCTCATCATCCCAAGGTTGGTGTAGTCTTAACCTGCATGGCTTTCTTGTTTCGTAATAAAGCTAGGCAAGAAGGTTCGAGTTCTCTTCTAATCCAAGAGGTCAGAACCTTTACCTTTATTCAATACTTTTAATGTGACAGTCTTGAGGCTTTAATAGTTTCATCAACTTTATTTGCTTGTATTTATCTTACATAGCTATATGCTGTCTTGACTGATCTAGTTATTTTCATGACTTTGATTTGTCTTATGAGTTTGTTATAAGATCATTAAGATTGTAATTCTTTTGATTGCCTACCTTTGTGCTTTTGGGTTCTATTTTGGTGTGCATTATCTTGCATATTATGTAATAGGTAGGATGTGGCCTTAGAATTTTTTTCCCTTTATTTCCTGAAAAGAAGTTTGTGCTTAACTATTGTAGAAGCCTACTATCGAAATGTATGCAAGGATTTCAATGTCCTAATGATTTTGATGTTATGTGAATGTGACTTGCAGGGGCTTTATAGAAAGGCATTAGGATACCTAAACCCTCCACCAGTAGACGTTGAGGGTATGAAGAATTATTTAAAATTTTTCCATGTGTTCAGGAAAATTAATAACCTTTTTATAATTTTTGTGTTTTAAGGTTTAGATGTCACAAAAATAAATGGAAGGGACATGGCAGCCCTTGCAAGAGGTATGGTTAAGAAGCTTATGGCTTTTCTTGCATTCTCTTTTTTTGCCTCATATCCTTCTGGACTGGAGTGACTACAATCTGACCCACGATTTACCTAGTTGGCCCTGTTATCACATGCCTTTCAGTTGTATACATGTTGCTCTTCTTGATTGTACATTGATAGTGTTTGCATGTATTGTATTGCCATCACGAAGTTAAAAGGACTTTTCCTTTTGATATTGAGAGCCATGCTTTTATTGAACATTTGAATGTTTACTCTGCATTTCTCGTAAATGATGCACACATCATGTGTAACATAAGGGATGCAAGGTATTCAACAACTCTGTCCAATTGATGATTTAACATGATTCAAGGGCGCTTAGTATGAATCCTTTTCAATTCCGCTTTTCCAATTCAATGTTGATATACAGGTGGTTATGCAGAAGTACTCTGTGTTCAACAGCACAGAAAACATGAAGGAGAAAAGTTGAAAAGTTGGGCAGATAATGCATGGAGAAACCGCCGCATGTCACTAGCTGCGGCAGTGGACTTCCCAGAGGCTGCTAATGTGGTGCCAGTTATAGATGCTCGAGTGATCCGTGTCCTGTAAATCTTCACATTCTCCTTCTTTACTCATACATCTCCGGCGAAAACATTCCAAAATCAGTCTATACTCCACATCCTCTCACTTGAATATTGAGTATTGTATGCTTACCTCCTGATTGTTGTGGCACTAACAATTTAGAAGTAAATCATGATGGATGATATATGTTCTGAACTAAGCAATAGAAAGTTCGAAACAATTATACACTTGCAATTTTACCATTCTAGCAGCTCAGACTGTCTTGATGAGAACTGTAATGAGGATGCGTATTGTACAGGGAAAAAAAATGAACTTTATTTTCTGGTAGAATAATTCATGGTAGACACAGGATTGGATGAACCCAGTGGTGTGCATCATTAAATTCATGGCAGATTGTACATTACAACAGAGTTCAGAACATAATATGGTGTACAAAAGTATTGTTTTCCCCTTGAAATGAACAATTTAAATGAGAATTTGGGTGGGTCGAGATCCTCAGAGAGGAAGATTAAGGCCTTTCCCGACATCGACCCCAATAACCTGCAGTATACCCTTGTTTATTATCTGCAAAAACCACAAACCCATTTCTCTGCTAACAATCTCAGAAGAAAAGCAATGACAAAAAATACAGATTACCAGAAAAGATGATGAGAGCTTACCAGTTCCACAATAAAAATACCAATGAGGCCAATCATGCATGCCCTGGAATTCCATACTTCAGCGGTCCTTGTGAATCCCAGAAACGGTGCTTGGAATTTTGGCTCTACTTTTGGAACTTCCACCTGAAAATAAATTCACTGAGAAAAGGAAAACTACATGAATGAGAGCGAAAAATAAGGCAGAACGTACTCCGGTAGGAAGTTTGGCAGCTTGGAGCTTGAAGGCGACTCGTATTTTCTGACTATGGAGCTGAGGGAATTGGTGGTTTTGGCGTTGATTTGTTGGGGTTTTGGAAGGAAGGAGAAATGATGATGAAATGAGAGATGAAGCAGCAGCCATTGTTACGAGCTCCGTAATCAAAACAGAATCACTGCCTCACTACTTGACCTTATCTAGTTGGGTCCAGGTGGGAAGAGAATTGAGGATGTCAGGCTTTGGTACACAACAACACATACAGTTCACACGTACACTGCCTATGGTTGCCAATTAAAGGCTGCCACGGTAGCTTAAAAAATAGAAAGATCCGAAATGATTTCTGTCCTTCAGTTTTCAAAATCAAAATGGAAAATAGCAGATACCCTCCTCTAGTTTAGGATTGGTATGTACTTAATCCCAAATTAAAAAAAAAAAAATTTGCATTTTATTCTTCTAAGGTGGCATGAGAAATCTACATTTCACTTACGACAACCAATATAGTTAAATATTGAGAGTGAAATGAAAAAAAAAATGCCATCTTTGTTTTTATTTTATCTTTTCTTTTTTGTATATAATGGTATTTTAAATTTTATTACTATCAAATATGAAATATGTTAAAATTATTAGTTTTTTTCTTTATATAAATAAAGATGATATTATTATTGAAAAAGCACGTAACGTACATTAGGGGGCGATCAAAATGAACCTCATAAGCATCAGCACAGCAAAAGAAGGCAACAAAGGGAGGACAATTTTCGAAAATTGTTAGTTGTAATGGAGTGGAATGCAATGCACTTTTCTCAAATTACAAAGTAAAATATACATTTTTATAAGTTTGAAGGTTAAGTGCGTATGCCCAAAGCCCCTATCCACATGAGATATGTGCAAATTTCAAAGGCAATATTATTAAGCAGAACCTTTTTCTTTTTTTTTGGCCAAAATACTAAACAGAACTTTAAACTTCAATTTTTTCAATATAAAAAATGTTCAATATTACCCTTATGTTCTACTACTTGTATGTTTTTACTTCGTATATTCCATATGGAATGGAGATATGAACATGCGCATGGATGTTAGGTTCAACTTCTGCATCAAATCATTTAAAAAAAACATGCATTCTATTAGCATTGCTTTAAATATTCAGCTACATTATAACTCCACCAGCTGTATTTTCACAGTTTATGGAATGTTCCGTTATGTAGCAAAGGTATAATCAGTTAGGCTGAAACGTCATTGTAATTCTCTATTCTTCTTCTTCTTCTTCTTCCCTCTTTCTCTTTTTCCCATTAGATTCAAGATCACTTAGATCTGAACCAGCAGACATTTTAAAGAGAGAGAGATCAACTTGACAATCATTGACGTTAATAGGTTCCTTGAACAAGACTGTCACAGGACTCGAAGGGCAGTAGCAGGAGTACTCATCATCATCAGAAGCATTGATTAAAGTACTGAAGAATGGATCAGCCAACCATGCTTGCATTATCATATGACACTCAGCAAAGCCATCCTGCAAGTACAAATTAATTTTGAAAATCTCAAATATTTTTCAGAGTCAATGGAACAGTACTTATTAACATTGCATTTAACTTAATGGGAAACAAAATTTGCTATTTTTGTTTAACCTTCTGGTGTTGATTAAGGAGATTTGAGATATTGTGGAGATGGACGACGTCACATGAAGATGAAATTACATCATGCACGGCTGATGCAGCAATGACACTAGGTGGATACTCCAGCAATTTTAAGTCTGCATTTTTTTTAATCATCACCATTTTGGAGCAAACATACTAAATCTAGAAGAAAAATGAAAGAAAAAAATCTCAGTAAACCTAATTGAGCTGCGAGAAGCGTTTTGGTGACTTGGTTGGTTAATTCCTTGTGACTTTTATTGCAGATGCTGTTTGATATCATCAGCTCCACGTAGGAATATGTAGTAGTACAGTTAAGGCGCCATTGCAATGCATTCATCAGAGCCAGCTCCATCCATTGGATTGTGTTTGATCGAAATGAATGTTCCAGGCCTTCCATCTTCAATTTAATTAAGAGGAGAAAAAAAAAAATCAACGTCTCCATGAATTAGCATAGTAGATCACATTAATCTATTGTGTTAGTCACCTGAATTTCATGGAACGGTGGAGTTGAGGTTTCATTGAACTTGGAGGCAATGGATAAGCATGCCACGGATAGTAGTTCAATCATCCAACATTTCCAACTCTGCAGATTAAATTATTCATGAACAGAAGAGCATTAATCCATTGCCTCAGATTAAGAAAGAGCAGAAATATGAATAATCCTTACATGGGAATGGCTCATAGACATGAACCTATCTAGGTAATTTACAGCACTGAAAACAGTTCCCACACTGAGGTTCAACCGAGCACGAGACTGAAAACAAAAAAGTTTTTAAAAAAATAAGAGTCAATCAACCCCTTTAAAAAGATGCAGAGATTTGATTAGATAAAATCGTACAAATCTGACCTTAATGAGCCACACAACCGCTCCAAACCTAGCCAAGACTAGACCATTAGAATGAAGATATTCTACATATTGAGGTTTAGGCACGTAACTCAACTCCTTCTGAAGGCACATTATGAGAGCTTGCTCATACTCTTCCTTTGTCATGACATTAAAGGAACCAACATCACCATCCACAATGCATACTCCAGGTTCATGGAAATGTTCAGGAATTTCCGGACTCGAAAGCCATACCTCATCACAAAGTAAATCCTCCATACTTTTCTTTTCTTACCTATAGCCTACGTAGTAATTGTTAAACACAGGTGCACATGTTGTGCGTCCACTGAAGGAGGAAAGCTAAGCTTCCATTTTTGTACTTGAAAAAAATGACTTAAAGGGCGAGAGGGTGATGGGGAGGGAGGGTTAGGGGAAGTTATAGGAGAGGAGGTAGTGGAGTAGTTGGAATGAGGGGGATATTAAAGGGAAGAGATGTGCCTCATGAAATGGGGTAAATGCAGAATGGATCAATATTTGTAGCTTTTTCACTGCAGTAACCAATTGCGTGAGCCTACATAAATGTTAAGAGCCCTTGAATGTAGGGAACGAAAACCACAGTGGTTTTTGTTTAGTTTGGACACCAAGTGGGAGAAGACTTGGGTCCCACTCCACACGTTTGGTTTGGTTTGGTTTGGTTCTGTGTCTATCGATCATGAGGATACCTGGGCACTTATCATAACTTACTGCTCTCCCAACTAATTATGCAGCAATTCTAATTGAATTCTTTTAGGTTGTGTTTCGCAAGGCGTATTTGATATGTGTATTTAAAATATACGTATTTAAAATATATAAATTTTAAATGTATATTATTTAGATTAATTTAAAAAAATAAATTTTAAATATATATTTAAATATATTATTTAGATATATTAAAATGTAACGTATTTAAAATTAAATTT